TATGGAACCCAATACGTAGAGACGGACGCAGGAAGCACATAATGACCCGAAGTGATCCCGTAATCCCCTCTGGAAATGACAGAAGCACGAACACTAGCTCTACCAAGAATGTTCTATGCACTGGGCTAAGTCTCACTGGTAACGAGGGCAAGAAGGGAGGTCACAACAACCCAACCCTATCGTTTACTAATGAGAAAAGCCAACATCAAACCGCCTATAATAGAATGTCAGCAGGGTACTTTGTGAGGGAAAACTTTGGTCAGCTGCAAGACACTAGTTTACTAGGAGACAGCCCCCAATCCAAAATAATGCCAGTTACGTCCGTTGTGAATTGTACCAGAAGGCAGTCACTGGTAAGGAAAACAACGCAGAACAGAAGTTTACATGGACCACAAAAACACGATGATTTTTGACCCATTACATCCCTATCAGCTGCAGCTCTGGCCAAACAACTGATGGAGATGTTGAAACCCCTCACCCTGAAACGCTAATCTTAGCACCCCGGGGCAACAGAAAAGACACAGTCAAACATACACACAAATCCTAGACACCAACTACCCAAGTGGTGTCAACAGATGCAAAAGCACAACAGGTCTTTCGAATCCTGTAAGTGGTATCACCAGCCTACACACCTACCACCTACAACGGTAAAACTACCTACCCTCTGTACAACAGATACTGGAGACGACGCTTGCAGGAGGTCAAACTCTGTTTATTTGGATACAATGTGCCCACTGAACACAAGTAAAAACATTGCTCTATTCTCCCCTGATAAAGGTGATACTATTTCAAGTCACTGTGCGGCCGATTTACCACCAGGATATCCTAGTAACTCTACAGCTACAAGTGAACAAGGTGTAGAGACATTCTGTAACGCAACGACGTCAGACTATACTCAGTCAAGTGACACTGAGATACATTTTGGCCTGTTTGGCGAACTAGAAAGCTTTACATACTATTACTCCTCCTACTTGTAAATCATTCTCATAAACTCAAGGTTCGTCCTTGGCAAACTGTCGGTATTAAGAGGAATCGCGCTCATTCATAAGCTGCCGGCAACAGTTATCACTGAGTCTTGGTGTCACGCAAGTATGCCAGATGAGGAGATAAGTATAGATATGTATACACAATTCCAATGTGACCGGAGTAACAAGAAAGGAGGAGATTGCCTGACGTACTTCCTGAACACTCTCACCGTATTCAGGTTGGAAAATATGGTTCTCGATAGAGTGAGTGACTCTCTATGGGTCACAGTACACTACAGGAATGCTACGGCACTGGTGGGGTGTGTTTGCAGAGCACCTGGTGCCTTTAACAATCATGAGATTCCACTGATTACGGCTCTGCAACACGCATCCACTCCCCCACATGATCATAAGATCATATGTGGTGACTTTAACCTACCTGAAATTAGGTGAGATTCACTTACTGGCCCGGCTAGGTGTGACAACGTTTTCCATACACTGTATATTTTTGGATGGGAGCAAATTGTTACAACTCCTACAAGGGGTGACAATGTATTGGACTCAATGTTTTGTCATAACGTAAATCCTATTTTGACAGACGTAGGCTCCAAGTTCCCAGGAAGTGATCACAATATGGTATTATGCGCACTGCCACTTCCTGCAACTAACACTTCAATTGGTACTTACACTGCACACCAAATAGTATGTAGAGACTGCGGCAGAACGGACTGGCACCGGATGCGTCCAATGATTAGGTGCATTGACTGGGGATCATTCTTCACCACTACAGACCTCAAATTAACCATTGATATGTTTCACTACACCTCTAAAGCCTGTCTCGATACCATCGTTCCACTGGGAGATTTCAAAAAATGCCACTAAACAATAAGCCATATATACCTCCCAATGCTCGTAGAAAGTTACGCAAACTCTCAACAAGGTACTACAGACATCAAGACATAGATGCACTTCGGCTGATTCTTGGTATTCTTAACTTCATCTCTTACACCCATGATTTGCGTTTGAAGAATGTAGAGGGTCGTGCACTAACTAGCTCATCTAGAGTATATGCTCTCTCAGCACTCCTTAAGAAGCCATGGAATTGCACGAGACATAAAATTCCTCTTCTTATCCATGACACTAAAGCTCATAATGATCCAGCGGATATGTGTGAAATATTCAGTGACTTATTCGCAGTTAGTTATCTGGAACCTACAAATTTTTCGTGTGACACATATGCGGTCTGCACTTTTAAAAGCTATTCTTCTCCTCAATTAACGACAATAGATACGGTTGAATTCACATACTCTAATATTCACCAAGCCAATGGGATGCTAAAATGCTCCAGCAGCGCTGGCACAGACGGAGTATCATCACATTTCTTTAAATTCGGTGGGCCTGAAATTCCATTATCATTACTGAGAATATTTTCTCTCTTTTTGGAATCTTTCACACCCTGATGCGTAGAAAACTTCATTTATCCTCCCTAGATATAAATGTGGTTCGAAAACACTAGCCAGTAACTATAGACCAATAAATATTACGCCTGTAGTCTCTAGAATTATGGAGAAAGTTATTAAAGAAAGCATTCTTCAGCACATGCTTAGTGGCAACATCATCACATCAAGTCAGCATGGGTTCCTAAAACCGAGGTCCTGTATAACTTGCCATCTTGACTTCCTTAACTTCGTAACCACTATGCGCGACCAACACCAATTGGTCCTTGTACTCTATCAAGACATTTCAAAGGCATTCGACAGTCGATCACTTGCTGTTGATAAGTAAGTTGATGACTACGGGAATTGACTACCGACTATTAAGATGGATTAAGTCTTTCCTCAGTAATCACACTCAAGTGATGAAGGTAGATTCACACACTTCAAAACCTAGGCCAATCACCTCTGGTGTTGTTCAAGGCAGTGTATTAGGTCCTCTTTTTGCTTTATGTGTCAATGACATCTGCAGCTGCTTTGCATACGGTAAACCATTCTTGCTTGCTGATGACCTAAAAGTTGTATATACATTCACCCGTGATAATTTATCCCACTTCCAAGCACTAATACAGGGGGAGCCCGATATAATATCCGCATGGTCTGTTGCTTGGAGACTTCAGTTCAATACGGGCAAATGTGGCTGGATATGTTTTAGTGCCCCATCAGTGAATGTCCAACTACATCTTCAGTCCACGAAACTTCCTGTTCTCAAAAGTGTATGTGACCTTGGACTGAGATACTCAAGGGACCTCACATTTTCTGAACAGGCGGCATCACAGGCTGGTAAATCTAGGATCCTGATGGGTGCCATGGTTCGTAACTTCCGGTTCAAAGAAGTCAAGTTGCTACTCTACAAAACTTGCTTGCGTCCACTGTTAGAATACTGTCCATTATACTGAGTGGTATCCGCATAATAGACAAACATAAAATAAAAGGTATCCAAAGGTATTTCACAGCTGGATTGTTAGGATACGATTTCAAATAGGACTACAGCTCCAGATGCAGGACTTTAAGTCTAGAAACGCTTTGGATGAGGCAACCCAAAATTAACCTGACACTATTCTTTAGTGTGTTACATAAACACACATTTACAGCCAGTGGTGAGTTTCAGTTCGAATACAACAGTTGTTACCATCTGCGCAACGACGCCCATAGCATCGAAATGAAGTCGTCCAAGTCCTGCTTGAGTACAAACTTCTTTGCCGTCAAATTCTCCCAGTTGTGAAACAGACTTCCAGCTGAAGTGAAGGCCTCCAAATCAACCTCTGAAGCTGGTCAGTTACTGGCTGACTCCTTATCATCTGGTGACTTCTACGGCTTATCGAATACACCAACAGTCTCCTTCACGACACTTCGTGTGCTCGACTCTCTTAATGTATAATGAGAGCCACTACACATACACTGAACTTTTATACGAAGCGTTGAAGAGACTTCCATAAGTTACCACCTCAAACTAACGGCACATTCTGCCCCACCCAACATGGTAATCAAAAACAGAAATCTTACACCACATGACAGCATGAAATTTATATTTTTAAATACCCTATAGAAAAAGAATATACCATGAAAGCCATAGCAAGGGAAGTTAAATAGGGAGAAACATGAACATAGAAAACACTTTCCTTGTTGAAATTCTTGCTTTCTCCGCCTGCTGCCTTGTCTGTTTTTTTCTCGTCGCAGAAAAACAATTCAGTTCTGAACGTTGGCTTTGTTGCCATGAAGAACTATTTACTTAGGGAACAGACCATGGCTGAAACTACCCTTCATGGAGGGTAACCAGCCTTACCAAGTTGAGAATACCTAACTACAACAAGCAGGAATGGAAAATGTTCATTGGACTACAAAATCCAGGATTAACTCATTATAAAAGTGACCAGTAAAGTAGAACACTTGCCAATGCAAGGCTGTCACGACCCGTGAAAACGAAGGACAAGATTTTCTGGAAGTTCATATGGTGCATTCAAACGAGTCTATTGCTTGTGGATGCTAAGGTTGAAAAAGTGAAGACATTTGGCTTTCAGTCATAATATTCATCAAGATTATGAATCTTTGTTGTGGAATGGTACTAACATGCATGAATTATACAGTCCTGGGATCATCAATGAAGTACAATATGTAAACAGTTCATAAACTTTCCATCATTATCTCAAGTAAAAAGCACAAACTGTTACAATGGAAGTGTTAGCTTCAAGCCTTATTTTTCTTCAGGTAATACCTGGATTGTCTAGATGCAAACCTGGTTTTTTTGTTAACGCGAAGACAAAACTTCCACTTGTCCAACTTGTAAACTTTCTGCACACTTATTCTGCTGGGATGTTCCATTATATGAACATGCAGCATTTGTATCTTATAGTGACAACGGGTAGGGATTCAGATCACCTTCCATGAAGATGAATGTAATTTGTACACAAACTTATTCATGCCCGTAAAAGTGGTATGTGCCTGTATATTCAGGAATAAATATTACTATTACAGCGATGAAGAAAGGGTGGCGGCGGTCAGCTAACAAAATGACCGAGCACCTAGCCCTGAAACGGAGTTCATGATCTATGCAGCTGCAGGGTATAAGGCCTCAGTGCAGTAGTATAATGACGATGAAGTGGGACCGAAAACCTCTGTCACCTGATGTAAAAATCGCAGTCAACAAGTTGAGACATCAACCTCATAGCCAGGCCAAATTAGGTTTGTTCTATTAATAAATGATCTATCGTGAGGGTCGCCCCTGCCATCGTGATGCTTACAGGCGACATCCGGATTTGATGGGTAATACATAAAGGTATGTTATCAAAAGGGTTGAAGGACGACGTTTCACAACTTGAATTTCGATCAACAAGAAATGGCTTAGGCTTTGACATGGAGCAGTTCAAATGCCTGACACTAGCAGAGTGAAACACTGTATAAATAATCAAATTATCCCATAAAAAACGAGAAGAAAGATTTAGACAGCATTTTCTCTACCAAATAAGGCACTAATGTGAAATGCATACTTGACCAAAGACTCTTCCGGTCTAAGAAGGAAACTGTCACCATCAAACTATTCTTCACCGTATTCAGGATATCTTTCCCACCACATCTCGAGGTTCTTAACACAGAACGGGCCAAACTAGCTACGTAGCTCATGGTGAAAGTAGGAGTTTCAGGAACACCCAGATACAAGTCTAAACCGACCGAATTCGAAACACTTGTTTCTCAAACAGGGAATGTAATTACAAGTTGTGGAGGAACCCTAAGAAAAACAATTCTTTACAGCAAAATGTATCTACAAAGTATCAGTTACAAACCTTCAGTTTTGCTGCTACTATGGGTTCTGACCAAAGCAAAGTACAGAAGTGGCACCAACTGAAGCAAGAATTCCAACTGGGTCATTCAAACAAACTGAACGAAGTCAAACGAAACCAACGGTAAATAAGATTATAGACATCCAGACCATGATTGTGGCCAATGTCGTGGAGGAAAGCGAGCGTGAAAGTCAACGCGATTATCAGGCAAACATATTCTTACATAATCTCAGGGCACTTAGAAAACCAAGACTAGATGTTTACTGGGAGTTTCACAGCTTCTTCTGTAGATTTTCTGCTACGGAAGCTATGGTTTACACAGCGAGACGTCCAGAGGACGTCTTGCCTATATATTCCTACAAGTAGTAAATGGTTTGAGTGTATCACAATAATATAAACCACAACGTGCGAACACTGTATATAATATTCACAAATCTTTTGGAGAAGGCATAGTGAAAGGCATCGAAATGTGTTGAGAGCTGATTAGTAAAGCCCATTTTGAGTGCTTCTGATAGCTTAACTGTTGCTTAATAAAATTTCGTACAAGTGGACGTGAACTAACCATAGGGTGTACTGTACTGTGAGTTCCAAAAATGTAAGGTTGTCAGACTCGTCCAATGCCCATTGAATATTGTAGAGCGGTGATCTTGACGTTTGCGTTACAACTGTTAAAGTTCATGTAAGGTGCGCCAATCTGGTGGGTTCTCTTCTTTTCGTATTTTTTCTGTATATTAAAGTAATACTAGACATTTTTTAAGAAAATGAGGTAATAATTAGGCAACTCTCGATCAAATGCAGGAGACTAGAAAAGTATACTTCAAGTTGCATTGATTTGGAATATAAAGCTGTAATTAATCACTTAAAGGAAGCTGCTAGTTGTAGTAATTCTACATCTGGGGCATTATGTATGCCTTGGTCGGTTTTAAGGACATTCATGTGCCTTGATAGAGTTTTTCAATTCTTCAGCTCATTAAGAGTACGGTGTCCAGGCAGCTAGTTAATGTCTCGGAAAAGATAAGCTGGTACATAAAATGGGGTTTAAAAGGTTGCGGCTTAACTGATGACAGATCATCCCCTTCCTTGTAAACAGCGATTAGCGGGGCCAAATCTTTTACCCTTAGCATAAGGAGAGAGGACTTGATATCAGCCTTTCGCATTCTGAGTAATGACAGGTATTGATTCATCAAATTTCTTTACTCCTTCTAGTACTAATAACTGTGAAGGAGATCAACAGACACCTAGAATTCGTGGTTGAATCATATTTGGGTGACTTACTGGTTCTCGCATAGAGTGGTCAATGACGAGCTACTTTCCGTTACAAGTGGTATCAGCTTCTTCGTTGATCACATTCGGGGAAAAACTGGACGGTCAGAGAGATGTTGACTGCAAAGATCAACATAGTCTACTTACCTACTATGCTTTTCACCGAAGATAGTAGGTTCTCTCAAGTTTCAGATAGAATATAATGGTGGAGAGACGTTCTGACAGAGAAACTAACATGCTGCAGTCATCTTGTTTGCATATCACTTATACTGGCTTCAAGCGATCTCAATTGATGTTTACCGTGAAGCTAGGTTTAAACGATTCCATTTTACAATGAAGTCAAGCCTGGGCTAACACAAGGTCGACGTTGAGCCAGATGTAAGACTGTGTTTTTCCTCGATGTATGCCCTTGGTACCTACTCTGGAATGGCTTTGGTTTTGCACAAGTCTGACCACATCAGCTTTTTTTAGTCTTTTGAAGGAATGGGGGTGGGTGGTGGACACTTCTGACGTGACCACTTTTTCGAAAACTCTCGGAACGCTTTAGTGTTTGCTGTCATTTTTATCACTAACAATATTTACATTCGCACTTATACAGAACCATACGGTGAGGTCTGTTAGCTCACATATTTTTGATGAAAGCTTCAAAATTTTCACATATGCCTGTGAGTTCAGTATTCTCCAAGTGTATTTCAGCACTAAATTCGTTGAGCCTCGTAAGCACGTCTGGTGACACTAGCGTACAACAGCTAACAGTGAAATATATCGCCCGTGAGTTCTGTTTTTCTCGTCGAATAATCAAACCTTAGATTTCTCTACTGGATAAAAAAGAGGTCACAAGATCGATTGATTTTTTGATGTGTCTAATCATAAAAATGTCAGCGATTGATTGAAGCAAGAACCCATAACCTTCTTCCCTAAAACATCAACAGTAAAACTGTTAACGAACTTCTTAAACTCACTTTAAATGCCTAAAATACTTGATGGAGTATAAATTTCTTATATGGGTTCGTTTGTCTGTACGGAGATGTTCAAAAAGCGTACTTGGAGATGCTATTCAAATGATTACCCAATTTATATTCTCGATAAAACTTCTTTTTAATAGTTTGAACTGAATGATGTGATTTCAACATGGACGGTTCACTGTTTCTCGCATTCCATTGGGTTTATTCCACAGTAAATTATCTTATGTTCGTGGTAATGACGTCACTTACTATCTAGTTTACTCAACTAGTTCCAATCTACACCTCACTTTCAACCTTTCGATCTGTTACGATGAGTCTTTTTTTATTTTCAGGTGATCACTTTATAGGACCTTGTATCTCACTATTAATTATTAGAACATGACACAACAAGGGTGGCTAAGAATGCGCCACACAAAGTAACATTATTCTCAAGACATAAAGCGAAGTGAATGAAAAGGAAAACACAAGAGTAGAATTGTTATAAGGACAGTCTAATAAAATACATTCAAAACGAAACATTCATTACTTTTCAGCAGCATAAGATAGAGAGAAGCTACAGCATGATCGCCATTGGTTTCGATTCTGAGCCGTATCTAATAACGTCTTAAACCAGTGAGTTGCGCAGTCTCTCGGACCCTGCTACTTGCAAATCATTTTCTCACACGTTTTACCAAGTTTGCGAAGTATGATAGCAGTCAATATTTCCGACGTGACTGGTAACAAACTAATACGCTCAAAATTGTCATATACATTACGTAGAGCCTTTTTAAGATGGTCACAATAATGGCCTCATTCCAGAGTAGTGAGAGATTCTTATTCTGCCATACCTCAAACAGTCTAGTCAGTTCCCTGGCTAGAATATTTGATGATTATTTGTCAGCGTACCTACCATCTACCTCACAAACCGTCTCACTGACACCAGGCTTGTTGCTACCAATGGCTTGAATGAGCTGGAACAGCTTCCGACTATTGCCCGATGCAGTTGCTATTTCCATCTCGCGCATTCTGACTACCAAAGCCTCACGGTCCTTGCGTAAGCGTTGTATAGTCTTTCGCGTAAGAGACTTGCGTGAACCAATGTACTGGCTATCCGCTGGAATGGTCTGACGGGTGTCAAGAAGTCTCAAGGAGCTCACAGAGACTCATTACTTATTAGGGGATGTCCCTCCAAGCCGCAAGCGGCTTTACTCGCCATTTTCATGGCGTCTTGCAAGTGCAGCCAATGCTTGTGTACACATTCTGGAGGTTCGGTAGATAACCTTAAATCTAGCTCGGATTGGTAATTAGCTTCAATGTTAGGTGCAACTAATTTGCCCACATAGACCTGTTTAGGAAACCGGTTTTGATGACCGGAACGCAAGGAAAACTTACCATTCAATAAAGCAAAATCAGAACCCAGACAGATACTCCATATGAAGCGGCAGTCCTGCGTGCGCCCACTCCATGGGTAGCTGATTGCAATGTGATATATTTGAGTTCAGGGTCGGGTGGCAGAAGGAGGACGCCAAGTAGCACAACGGCGATGGCTGTGTCAAAAGTTGGTTCTGGTTTGAAGTAGTTTTGTGTCTGGGCAAAGATGCAGAAGATGACCCCTATTGTCCAACCTGTGGTCATCTAGTCCCCATTGGCCACCTAAACGACTCGTTTGAGCCTAGACCCCCAACCTGCTCATTTAAGTCCCCAGCTAGCACTGCGACATCTGTCGAGTGGATTTGGCTGAGGTCACCCTGTTGATGCTAGAATTCATCCTTGGTTGCATTCGGGCTGTAATCTGTTGGGGCGTAGGCAGAGATGACAAAGACATCTTGCCGGTTACTTCTTACTCCAGATGAACCTTCTAACAACATACAGACGAGTAGTGTAGCTTCGGCTCTAGCGCTTAGTGAGGCACAGATTGCCGATGCCACAGGATCCCTAGCTAAGCGCACATGAAACATACTTTTCGCACTGATAGATAAAGAACTTATCGGAAGTACTTCACTGGGATCTTGTATGGGGGTCTCTGAGATGCAGCATACATCAATAGCGAGGCTTTCTAGACTCCTAGCCAAACCTGCCTTTTGTTCGATCTGCATCAAGTTGCGAACCTTAAAGGTGGAAAGCGTAGATGGAACGGGTGGTTTAAGGATACCTGAGTCCGACGTCGCACTGGAGTACAGCTTAAGTGGGACAACTGTTCACTGACTCGAGACGGTACAGACAGACGAGAAGTCTAGGCAATGGAGAGCAACTGAGTGAAGTGAAGACGAAAGCGAAAACGGTAGTAATAAAATACAGTCCATATGTTAAAACAACAAAAACAATATGATAGCAGTAAATTTTACAATCGTTTATGGAGTTCGTAGTGCGAAAGGCCTGAATATTTGCAGGAAATTGGTTAACTGCTTCGAAATCTTCATTTTATATTTTAGATTCATATTTTATGGGATGGCTGGGATACTACCCAAGTGTCTAGACCGAAGCAGCTGGTTATCTTAGGGGACCACTTCCCGAGTCTTTGGCTTAAAGTCTAATCCACAAGGCAGTGTGGCTGCATTCTTATGGTTGCCGATGGCCAAAATAGGTTCATATGTCATTCGTTTCTTCTGGAACCTAGAGCCTTATTGCACCATTGGTTTGGAACCAAGGTTTCCCAACTCCCCTAAGTGGATCCTCAGTATCCACCAATCTGCTGATAACCGTGGGACATTCGCTCTTACCCTTTCACCTTTGTGAAGACACCTCCGCTACGTCAGTGCAGTGAATAGGGCTTCTCTAGCAGAGGCTATGAACGCATACCAGGGGATTTGGAGACTTGTTTCTCTTAGGGAAAGTGTAGCTTTCTATCCGCTGTTTGAAAGACTTTTTCTCCAATCTGTGAAGCTCTGTATTCTGAAGCTAAGTCGTTTAGAAAACTGTATGTACATTTTTACGTATATATATATATATATATATATATATATATATATATATATATATATACTCACTGGCTTGCTTATTACGAAAAGGTTGCCGTCTTCGAAAGAAGTAGCACGATTTCCTTATACACCGATTGATAGCGTCACAAGTCTAGACTGTTTGATGCACTTTTGTCATGAAAGCTTAGTCAATTGTTTGGTTTATTACGCAGATCCTTCAAATAAAGTTGATGAACCTAGTTTTTGCATTCATCATTGGCTCACACGTATAAGTAACTTGGATTTTCATCAAGATCTCAGGGAACAAGCATCCAGTTGGTGAACAAATCCATTCTAATGTCTAAAATATGTACATTGAACTACTTCCTTTTATGTACAGGAGTTATCATAACGTAAGAAAAATTTCCTTAAGTATGATATTTAGCATTCTATTGATAATGCTTACAAAGTCAGACAAGCTTAGCGAGAAACTTTTCCCGCATTCCATGAAATTCAATGGTTCACAGTGCATAACCAAGGTCAGTCATTAAGCTTTTACTTCATGCTTAGAACTTTCATTGAATGTATTTTCTGCTTTAAAGGTAAAAACCAACTTGTCTTTTGAACATTTTCGGTGTAAAAGTACTTTGGTAAACATACTATTACCATAAACGATATAAACGTAAAACCTCGCACAGAGGTACATCTGTTCACAGTGTCGAACACTAGGCTACAGACGATATTGAGAACTAATGACAATACGTCGTTACTCAAATCTAACAGTCAGTGTGGTTGGGACCCTAATTAGAAGCTAAGTACATAGGACTGTTTGACCACATAATTGAAATCAACCGTACTGTGTTGAAATGGAGGTTGATTTTCAACCACTAAACCATGGGGAAAGAATACTTATTCTGTCGGAGCAACTAAATAGTTTTACTTTTCGCAAAATGTGAATACATACGTATTCTATATTTGCGTCGTGTGTTATAAAGCTTGCGTGAATTGTATTCCATATATTCATGAACAAAGATTCGTGTGATCAAATAAACTATCAAGTGTAAAATCTTAGGTGGTTGTAAATATGATAGAATTTTCATTGGGAAGTAGTGAAAATTCTCTAACAAATATATCTTACAGGTTGTAGATATTGAGATAATATTCCACATTACTAAGTGCAACGAATTGATTCACATCTAAGACATGTAGTACTAATTAGTTCCAGTCGTAATTCAGAGATAATAAACTCCGGTTAAACACACTGCATAAAGCACAACAACCGTGAGATTCAGTTAGAAATATTTAGCAGTCAGTAAATTTAAACACACATTAATTTTCATTAGCCTATACACAATGTGACTCAACTCAGTACAGCTTTACCTACTAGACTATAAGCAACACTAGTTGCGTGAAGACTAGTGACACTATATGGTTATTAAGGTTGAAGTAAGCAGACCTGACTTTCAATCCTGGATCCATTGCCTGAAATTTGAGTGCTTAGGTCAGTGTTCCATTTCATCACTTCTGATGCGATGGACACGGATTTAGTCAGTATGTAGTATGGGATCTGTTACTATTACGTAACGGTCCAAGTTGTTACACCATGTCAGGACATCAAGATAGAGGGCACCAAGATGAACGATGGAGACAAGGAAATTAATCAAAATTAGTGGAAAGTCGTAAAAAGAAAGCAAGAAGGAATAAAACAATGGTAATATTTAGCATGAAGATTAAGTCGATGATCATCATCATTATCAACATAGGACCAGGCATTACTGCTTAACGGTCCGAGTTGCCACACCTCATATCAGCACATCAAGTAAAAAGGTAGTGAGGCGAAGGATGAAGATAAGTGAAAGCAGTCAAAAGAAATATAAAGTACGAGAAGAAAGGAAAGAGGAGTGACAAAATGGTGAGATTCGGTATAGCGTTGTTAAGATGAGGATAGTGTGTGTATACATCTGCGCCACTGACTTCGGTTCTGAGCCATATCACCTAGGGTCTCCAACCACTGGTTCCTGTTGTCCCGTGGACCCCGACCACCTAGTCTGCATCGTCCTACATGGCTTAAACCAACAGTCAGAGACTAAGTCGATGATAATATGTATGCACATCTGCGCCACTCAGATTAATTCCAAAACGTGTGGGCAGTTGGTACTTATTGGCTAACCCGACCTTATGAGTTGTTTCTGCACAATTCCTGGAACAGAGAAGGATTTATGTGACCGCGGAGCTTCTGGGACATCTGCTTGAGGTCTGTTACACAGCCTTTTGAGAATTGTTGGTATGAAATTTGATTGTTCTAAAACTGTATACAAAAAACCTATACCGCAGGGCAGAGAGAAGTGGGCTGTTTTTGGTGTTAACCTTTTCTAGCACCTTCCAATGTGGAAAGTAGCATCAGCATGTTACCGCTGGTCATCGACAAGAAACACCTAACTACTGTCACACTCCACCCATCCAGGAGTACGACTCAGAACCGCGCAGCGTCGCGATTTACACTATACGGTAACTGCTTTTCGTTTTATCACAATCCAATATACCTTTGTGACATGGTAGGACTCCAGAGAACAATCTTTCCAGTCGGTGTAGCTCGTTGGGTCATGATATAAAATAGTCAACAATCCTACATCATCTTTAACTTGTTCCAGCCCTGCAGCTCTCGAAAACTATCTGAGTTCATATAGCGACATCTCTGGTCTTCTGAAACCGCACTCTAAATTACGTACGGCAGCTTTCAATATCCGCACTCTTCGTCAAATCGGCCAACAAGCTTCGCTAAACATAACTGTAACAACCCGGGCCATAGGTGTGTGCTGTGTTTGTCAGACGCGCCTTCAGGAACCAAGTGCGGTTGTTAACCTTACCTCACCCGTTCAGTATGGCGAATCCGCAAAATCCACCCTTCGAGTTTCTGGAGATTCGTTGGCCAGTTCTCGTGGTTATACAGGTGTAGGTGTAACATTGAGCACTAAGTCAGAAAGTGCACTATTTGACTGGATTCGAGTTGAAAGTCTCTTATGCGCTATCTGGTTGAATAGCACAGTGAGAACTAAAAGGAACGGTGAAACGCCGTTGTCCCTTAGTAATATCTACTTACGCACCCACTGAATGCATTTCAGATGAAGTGATGGATGATTTTTACTGAAAACTATCTAGCTTTCTAATTAAAACCAAGTGCTCAAATGTGGTCGCTATTGCAGGCGATTTCAGTGCAAAAGTAGGTGGGCTGTCAGACAGGCACTTAGGTAGCACCTTCGGAATCCCAGCCGAATGAACAGATAACGGTGATCGCTTACTACGATTATGCACAGATAACCATTTGCTTCTAGCCAGCACAAACTTCGGACACGAAGAGAGGCATTGTTTGACGTTGGGTCCATCGATCTTAACTCAGCGGTGGACACAGACAGACGACATTGCTGTCACATGTCGAAGAAAGGGTCGGTGGAAAACTGCCGCTCCTTCTGAAGCATGTGTTTAGGTAGCGACCATGCGTTGTTTCGAGCGCGTATATGGTCTGGGTCTCAGTGGGCGTAGAAAACCTCTAGCAACAAGACCATTACGAGTGCAGCTCGACAATGAGAGCACTAAGGCCGCTTTCAGTGGGAAACTGGCTAAGCAGTTATCGGAACTGAACACTGTAACTCATTCCAGTCTACTATTAAGCTAACAATGAAGACCGTAGCTGTCGGAGAGGTTAAAAGGAGCTAGTGAATATCAGCAGCTTATTCTGAATTATTGCATGCACTCAGACGTCTCCCTGCAGGCTCTGAGTACAATAAACAGCGAACGCAACTTAAAAGTAGATTGGAAAAAGTCTATGCAACGACCGCGAACAGTGGTGGGGAATGAAGGCTAAAGAGATGGAAAAGGCAACGGCGATTGGTAACAGTAGACAGTTATTTAGACTTATTAAGGAGACTGGAGGGGGGAAGGTCAACTGCGGTTAGTGAGACTATGGCGGAGAAGGATGGGTCTGCGATTCACTCGCAGAGAAGACGACTGGAACGATGGGGAGAACACTTAGAGGAACAGTTTAACTGGCCTCCAGCCACCACTGCGTTGCCTGCTATCCAGTCGAACCCTGAATGGAACATTGAGATAAGCCTTCCAACACTTGCAGAAGTTGAGAAAGCAGTATATGACTTGAAACGAGGAAGGGCGGCAGGGCCAGACGGACTAACTCCTGAGGTACACAAGGATGGTGGTATAGTGATCTTTGGTTAACGGAAGTGTTAACTAGTATATGGGAATCAAATACGATCCCCTCTGACTGGTTTCAATCACTGATTATTCCAATCTTCAAGAAAGGCGAGAGGTCCTCTTGTGATAACCACAGAGGAATCAGCCTCACGAATATGGTATCTAAAATTCTAGGTTCTATAATTTTTCGACGCTTGAGTGGAGCTTGGGAACAACAAGCCCGAGAAAACCAAGCAGGCTTTAGACCAGGCTGCGGGTGTATCAACCAAATATTCACAGTCAGGTTTTGTAACACAGCGCACTCACCGACGACCAACAATAGCTGTATTTCTCGACCTGGAGGTGACATTAGATTCCGCTGATCCTGGTTGACCTAATTGCGGGAGAATTTTTGTTAGACGTAGAATACGCAGATGACATAGTCCTGTTAGGTGAAGATACTGACAAGATACAGAGTCTTCTGGACACTTTGAGTGGCAATTTGAGAATGTTTGCAATGTGTTTTTAACCACTTAAATGCAAACTGTTGCTCCAGCATGTCTTCTACATTGCCTCTGCTAACAATGGAGAGTGTGTTGGTTAAGTGTGTTGACCACTTGACTTAGCTGGGAAGTGGGATCAGGCCTGCCCTGGTGGCTCAGTGGCCGATGAAATCCTTGCATGAATACAAAAGGCTCTGTTGGCTTTTGCCAACTTACGCCACCTATGGCGCCGTCGTGATAACCGATTGTCTATTAATAGTCGTGTGTACTGCACGGCAGTCCGGTCTGTTCTACTGTATGGCTGTGAAACATGGCCATTGAAGGTGGAATGCACGAGATGGCTTCAAGTGTTTGGCCACCGTTGCCTTCGTAGTATAGGTGGTATTCCGTGGTGTCACCACGGGATTAACACAGATGTCAGGTGTAGAGTTTTAGAGAGAAGAGGTAAGTCAGTTGACGAGGTTGTGAACCTTCATCGACTGAGATGGTTGGGACGTGTTATGTATGCCTAGTCGCTGTCTTACTCGTCACACATTGTTGGCCGAAGTAGATCAAGGCTGGAAAAAGGCCTGAGGTGGCCAGACCAAAACATAACACTAATATATGAAGTCCTTGTTGGTTTGAGCCATGTGGGGCGATGCAGACTAGCCGGTTGGGGTCTGCAGGGAAAGAGAAACCAGTGGTTGGAGACTAGGTGATATGGCTTAGAACCTATGTCAGTGGCGCAGATGTATGCACGCATTATCCCCATCTTGACGATGCTATACCGAATCTCACCATATTCTCATTCTTTTAGTACTTTATATTTCTTTTGACTGAATTTTTTCTTCTTCATCTCTCACATCAATGCCTTTTTACTTGGTGTACTGATGTGAGCTGTGGCAACTCAGACCGCTGCGCAGTAACGCCTGGTCCTATGTTGTTTGGATGCATGGATAGAATGTTTCGGTCCATTTGCCACCAAATACTTTGAGTTAACTCAAAGTCTTCAAGTTTCAAAGCTTATGAATAGCTCAATTGTGGAGTTTTTCTGCATTATCGCCTGTTTGCCACAATTTATAATCATTTTTTGTCAATTTTTTAATAGATGATTTGATAAATATAGCCATGTACCTCCTGATTCTCTGAGTTCGGTTTCTCAATCGAAGAAACTTTACCAGCTTAGAGTATGTAGACCTGCTACGCTTGTTAAGCAAGGGCTCTTACAATAAGCACCATCTAAAAACCTTACACGAAAATCTAAGAATGTTTGGGATACGTTTTGAATCGGTCAAAAAAGTAGTGCACCGAGACTGATCTTTGGCAAAATGCAATCTAAAATTAAAATACTATGGTTAAGTATTTTACGTACTTCACTTTTCGACATTTAATTTAAGTCTATGAGCTGGTGACTGGTAATGTCTTAACAATAATACACAGCAATTGTGAATACTTGTCATTTATTGCTACGAAAAAGCTTTAATGCTTATCACAATACGAGTATACTACTACCCTTCAAGTTACTGTTGGAATGTTACCGTTAGAAGCAGAAAGCTTGAGAGCGTATGAAAATGTGATCTCCCCAGCCTTCACGGAGAGAAATCCTCACATGACAATCACTGAGGAATCAGTCTGATAAACACTATGTTTATCTATCTATGATTATACATGTTTTATTTTTTTAATGTCTAATTACTCGTAAACCCATTGCTGTGATTGAAAACATTGATAATTGCTTGATGTGCATATATTCCAACTAATGCAAATTCATTTGTTGTGATTTAACAGGATGGAAAAGTAACATGTGTAAAAAGTCCATATGGCAGTTCATTTGGTGCGTTTCGTCGTTTCATGATTTTCAAATGTTTATTAATTTTATTGGGGCTATGCAGTTTTACTGTAATTCGTCATAGACAAAAGCGTCTAGACAGAAAGCTTATTCAGAGAGTGAATCTACAAATTGCAGCTGGTGTTTAGTACACTGTGAATGTCATTTAAATACATTTCCTACTGTGATAACCCTTTTTGTTTTCATTGGTTTTTACAGCTTAAAACAGTTGTGATTTTAAATAAAATAATGATACGCTTCTGCAGAATGATGAATCAGAACCTAGTCAGCTTAGTGATACTCCGCCAAGAAATACTTGTTTAATATTTACTAAGTGCAGCAGGTTTACACATTTTCGTTTGGCCATAGTGACTGCTATACAAACTAACTCCACTTCGATCGTATACCGAATATGACTATTTACTTCTTAACTGTTATAAAGCGACTAGAGAAGGGAAAATAAGTAATGTTACAAAGTGTTTCTTAGTGAATTACCTCATGGATGTTGACAGAACTTTACCAAAACAGTTTGTAAATACCCACTTTCATCGATATGCTTTTTATTCGTTAGTCACTATGGTGTTTTGTCATTCACCTATGACAGTTGTGTGAACAAAGATGTTCGTTCTATGATCTAGCCTAATTGACTGATTTGTGGAACTTAACGTTATATGCACAAACTTGTCATTAGTTACTTTAATTATCAGATTTAAAACCATCATTACTCATTGTGCCGTTATGCTTGATTAGAAGCTTATTGGGGGATTTTATGACTCATTCACTGAGCGCAGCTCAGTCCAAAATACCACTACCTTTACTCTTCGATCCACTTGTAGTAGTGAATGCACATCTTGAAAAGAATATTTGTTTGCGGGGATTACCTGCATCTAAATTGGCTGACTTTTAAAGTGCTGCGGCGTTAAATTGCTGTCTGTTAACTCATTGCAACTGACGAATATATGAGATAATTCATCGGACAGTAGTTTCTTCAGCGTCTGAATTGAACGAGAAAAATACCATTCATAAGCTTAATTAACAACTATTCATTTGTGCCCTTGATGTATCTGTCCGATACCTAGTTCCCAATTATGTAAATGGCTGTCTCAGGAAGCGCATGACATATATATATATATATATATATATATATATATATATATATATATGACCGCCCCATAAATGTTTAGCATTATTTCAACTACAGGGTGTAGAGATAAAATCGGCGATAGACATACGACAGTATAACAATTGATACACCAAAGTGCTACAATTTATTTTGCGATATATATGCATACGAATCTTCACTGGGTCAAAAATGATGAACACCACCTAAATTTTAAGTCAGAGCCATTAGAGAACGGCGTTCGGCTAGATCATATTTACAGAAATACAAAGTATGTGTACACAACTCCGAGCAAGTGCCATACGAGCTTTTTTAACTAATCGGCAGTTATGAATTCATTATTTCGACCAAGGGTAGGTGTTCCAATCTGCATCAAAGCGATTGCTATTCGGTTGCTTAAAAGTCCCATCGGGGTTTCTCCTAGATTGAACTGATTGGAGCATTGATTTGTCCAAACGCCAAAGACCACTGTACCGATATTCGTTGCCATCCTGATTCAGTTTATATCTGTAGTGTGAAGTGAAGAACTCCTTGAAAAACGTGAAGTTGCTCCACTTGTTATTGTGCCACTGCTTTAAGTATTTGCGACTTAGGTAATTATTTTTTCCACTTCCAGAAATTGACAAAAGCTAAAAACCAGAAAAGAAATACTGTAATCACCAGGATCAATGGGTAACGTGTAAAATAAGCAGTATAAACCTGATGCGAAATACTAGGTTTTATGCTGAGCTCCGAAACAATTATTACAGAAACAAACGTGAACAGATTTTAAGTTCGGTGGTGCATGAATTGTAAGCTGGTGATTTCGGTATAAGAAGCTCTAGAGTTGAGAACAGGTGAGCAACCATATATTTTGCAATCGAACCCTGATGGTATTGGAAGAAATGAGCTCATTTGATTTATGTGGAGACAACGTTTGAAAAACGTTACGGTATCAGACTTCACATAACAAGTAGAATTCCATACATGCGACTCAACTACACGATTCGTTCCATTGTCTTACTGGACAAACATTTACTATCCAAAAAGGCTGGTGGGATATCCGGTGGTCCTTCATGGTATCTTTCTATTAAGATTAACATTTGAAAACATTTATAAACTAACACTGCTCTGTTTACAAAATAATTCAAACTTGAAGGGACTACCTCTTATATAACAGATCTTATTGTCCACGTAGTAAAATAACTGGCCAACATTTGGTTCTTTATGTATCAGCCGGACAAACATGCAGTTTAATTAATTGATGCATTGTATTTAACTTGATTTGGCTATCTTTCGAACTACTGGTAAACCGATTCAAATTATCCTTTTCCTAGGATACGACAGTTCGATTGAAACTTAGGTATAGCACTGATTTAGTGTAGGTGGTTATTGTGTTATTTCTACTACAAATGTTTCGAAATTTGTGCAAACTAACCTTAGGAACGTCAGATTTATTTGCATCGCATATCGATACACTTGTCTGACTGGATTCTGAAGAACCAGATAACTTCGAGTCGACAGCAAGTCCACGATGCCTGAAAAACCTGCCATCTGGAAGTAGCCTACATGTAAGGAGATCGGCTTCAGTAGGTAGGCCATTCACGAAAACAACAGGTTGTATCCTGACGAGGTGTTTCACTTCGTACAATTCTCGATTGACTGATGGGGTGTTCTTGACGATGACCCAGGTATGATTCTATAAGGTCACAAAAATAATTTTACATTACTTTGGTGTCTATCCCAAGACCATACTTCTCAAGGATTGCCCTTTGGTAGTGAATAATTCCCTTGAGAGGTTTTAACCGACACACCATATATAGTAAAGGAGGTTCATTTGCTGAGTTTTGTGGTTTGGCTTCCTGCATCTGAAATAAACGTTTAGCCCAACCCAATGGATTCTTGTAATCGTCAGTTCCAGGAATCGGTTTTGCTTCTTTTGTATATGATTTATTACAGTGCTGTGTGGAAACATGGAGAAATCTGGAATTGCTCTTCAAATTTATCCATAAGTAGGCCAAAGGTCGAATCATCACATGTAAGGTAAAGAACGTGCTGCAATTGTTTGATCCTTTCGACTAATTCGTTGTATCGTCGTTTGAGGTTGCTGAAGAAAATAACCTAAGATATAATTAAGAAATTGCGATAGAACAGAAAATGTTGACTGAAGAATCTCAAAAAACAGCTAAGATGAAAAGCGTGGTCTTATTGTTTGAGTGGATATCAGCTTAAATCAGAAAATCTAAAGAAAGGAAAATCAACATATGTTGCACACTCGTACGAAACGAACTCAGCAACCTTGTGCACGTTTGTGCAGTAGGTAATGAGCTACACTCATTGTGTGAGGGTTGATGTTACTACCTATTTGCTCAAACTTAGGTATATGGAGCAGGGTTTGAACCTGTTGCCCACTGGTTGGAAGTCAACTACATAAACCACTGAGTCAGAGATCCATTGCCAATTCATACGTATTGCTTACTAATATCATCTAGATCGAAACTTATAACGATCAAAAGAAGTAGGGTGGATCCCTTGAACTAGCTTTTTCTCCTATCATTTAATTCAGCAGTTTTTTCTTCAAAACACTCATCGGATTTTAAAATTTAGGGAATAGATAACAGATTCTGTATCCTCAGCTAAAAGTGAAGATATCAATGCAGTTCGTACAAGTAGATTTCTAAACAACGGGACCCACAAACTTGACATACTTCAAGGCTTAGCAGCACTTCTCGATAAGCATTTTGCTTACGAACGTAGAAACCGGCTCACAGGTCTATTGGGTCAAGGTGTCACACTTCACAATAGTACACAAACAACAGGTGGATAGAAAAGACTGATATCAAAGTAGACAAAGTTGTATGAGAGAATAAACAATTGGAGATAATGGTTAATTCAAATAACCCAGCTTTAGAAGACGTTTGTGAGTGAATACATCTGCGCCATTGTGCCTGATTTCCAGCCACGTCACCAAGAGTCCTCAACCACTGATTCCTATCGCCTCGGGGACTCCACAGACTGCTGTCACATCCTGGTTTGGCCACCCTAAGCCCTCTTCCAACTTAATGCAACTTTTCCTAGCACGGTATGTCGAGGTAGGCGATGGATTGGCATACCCTACATATATCTAAGCCACATCAACTGATGAAGGTCCACAAACTCATCAATCGGTTTGCTTAGCACCCTTCGACTGACATCACACAGTGGTTCCACCGAACGCTAGCGATGCTACGAAGATACCTATGACCGAAATCCTGTAATCTCCCCATGTCTTCTACTTTCAACAGCCATATCTCACAACCGTATAACAGGACAGAACGAACTGCAGCTCAGTATTCTAGTCCTCTGATAGGTTATTAGGATATCTCGCCAGTCGGTGCCACAGATGCAAAAATTAGCAAATGCCAAGCGGGCCTTCTGTATCCGAGCTGAGATTTCGTCAAGAATCAACCTATTCAGGCTGATACAACTCAAGTAAGTGAAGTGGTCGACACAGCCAACCACATAACTTCCTATCATTAAACTGGGAGTGGCTGTAGACCAGTCCTGAAGCGTCATCCTACATTTGACACAAGTGGCAGCAAAATACATGTCAAACATGCTCAAACTTCTTCTCAACACATTTTTTCAGCGTTTTCACCCAGCAGGACAATATCGTCTGCATACTTCAAGTCAACCAGATGGCTTGCAGGGAGTAGGTTGCTCCTTGTGAAGTCAAGCGTACCTAAGGTTATGTACATTAGTACATTTATTACGAAGTTAAATAGGAACGGTGACAGTAAGAAACCTTGGTGGACACCACTAGTTGTCGTCAGTTCGCATGACAACTCTCTATAAGCCCTTATATGGCTGCGTGAGTTAAAGTAGAAAGCTTTGATAAGCATTATATGCTTCCTCGGTATTCGCTTTACGGTTTGACACTACCACAACACCTCATGGTCGACTGAGCCGAATGTCAAAGTCAAATCAAGAAATATAGCAAGTGTCGGCTGTCGGTAAGAATTCCTGTGTTCCAGAACCTCTCGTAGGTTAAATATATGATCAATGCACCCTTATCCAGCTCTGCCTAGCTTCCTCGAGTTTCTTGCTCACGAGGGACAGTTAGGTGTCGGATAATTATAGACCTTACGATCTTTGACACACTATTATTATATTATTATTTGTCCCTTGGGTTCCTTGTGCAACATAAGGCTTCAGTAGCACGTCTCCAGTGCACTCTGTTCTCTGCAAACTTTGGATCTGGCTCCACAACAGCCTAGAAGTTCTCATTTCTTCCTCACACGATCTCTTCCATGTCACCCTCGGACGCCCAACTCTTTTCCATCTGCGTTCCACTCGAGTGCCTGACGCATGATGTTCCCAGTCGGTCTTCTCAGTGTATGCCCAATCTATCTCCACTTCCTTCTGCATATTTCTTGAGTGATAGGTTCTTGCCAGAGTTCCTTGTTGCTTATTCTTTCCGGCCATTTGAGCTTCAGCAACGAGCGTAGGCAGTTGTTGGTGAATGTCTGTAGTTTGTTGGAAATAACTTTCGTAACGCGCCAAGTCTCTGAATCATATAGAAGCACTGACTTGACTGAATTAGTGTTGAAAATCCGGATCTTGTTCCATGTGCTCAGTGCGGAAGATCTCCAGACTAGTTTCAGGTTAATGAATGCCTGTCTTGCTATCTTTCCGATCCTGGCTTTGACGTCCTCGCCTGTGCCGCCTGTAATTGGAACAGTAATGCCTAGATAAGTGAAAGAGGCTACTTCCTTTAAGTTTCTCTCGTTGGTGGTGATTGGAGCTTGTTGTTGGTAGTGTTGGTTGGCTATCCTCATCCCCTTTGTCTTCTCTACGTTCATCTGAAGTCCCGCCTTCGCTGCCCTGCCTCTTCTGTCAACTTGTTAGTTTTTGCCTGTTGATCTTCGAGTTTATGTGACATTAGATATAAGTCATCGGCGAAATCTAAATCTTCTAGGTTCTTTTCCGCGGTCCAGCGTTTCCACCTCTTCTCGCTCCTCACTGTTTTTTGCATGATCCAGTCCACTACAATTAGGAATATCATGGGTGATAGTAGACAGCTTTGTTTTACTCCTGTCTTCGCTTCGACACACTATTAGTCAGACTAATTCCCCTATGGTTGTTACAGGAAGACTTCTCTTCCTTCTTACAGACTAGGATGATCAGTAAAGTAGACGATTCTGACAGCACTGCCACCGACTCCCATATACTACCTAGTACTTCCGTCACTTTAGTTAGCAATTTCCTGCCTCCATCCTTGAAAACTTCAGGTGCCAACTGTCAGGTTCAACTTCTTTGCATCGTTTCAGGTTTAATACAGCTTTCTCAATTTTAAAGAGAGTTTGAACCGACATGTACGTTCCATTCAGGTTCGGGCTAGATGTTGGGCAACTGGAATGCTATTATGGGCCAGCTGAACTCTTTCAAAGTGTTTTGCTCAACTTTCTATGCGCCTGTTCTGGGGTTATCACCGTCTCTTCCTTTTCGATGATGGTTTCACTGACCATCGTCTTGCAGGTGTCCTTAATAAGCCTAAATAATTGCCAGGTGTTACCCAACGCTGATGCCTGCTTCATCTCTATCACTTCCGGCACCCACCACTGCTCGTAGTTGTCATGAAGACTCTTGATCAATTTACGTTTAAGTTTTTTTTGCACTTCATTGTGGTCAGAACCAGCTGGAATGAGTTTTCTCGCATCAATCACTTCGGATGACATCGCGGAAATTCAATGACGTTTGCTAACCTTCTTGTGTAGGTTACCAATTGTCTTTACGCTGTTTCCACAGCCGACTTACTATGACGTCAGGTTTCTTCGGGATAAGAATTGATATCATGTTCAGATAAACGCTTTGCTAACTGTCACCTAAATACGTACTTGGCGTCCTTATCCCCCAATGGAGCACAGGTAGGCTTTACTATTGTTCCCTACAACGAGTAAGGCGCAGGCATAAACGAGCCCGTACTAACACGTGATCAGAGTTCAATCAAGTACTTCTGAAAGAGCGGCAATCCTGTCCAACGACAGCTTATGCCAGTATGATGATGTGCCTATCGTTAGTCTGCTGTCGTTAGACGCCATATGAGACAGTGTCTCCTCATGCTGATGGCCTAAAACAAAGGATTGTCGGAGCAAAATTGCAATAAACGACTACCGTTGTCATACCGTCGGTATGGGAATTCGTGAATACCATCAAGATGCCTTCTCAACTGGCTCAGCTTTTCTACTTAAGAGTTGACATCGCCCACTATTGACCATATATGAAATGAACATTTCGCTTTCCGTGGCAAATTTGACAGCTTACAGAATTCATTCTTTCGTTCATCCAAACTGCAGTCGGTGGGCGCGTAGGCGGAGATTAAAAATAGACATCATTTAAGTCTCATGGTCCTTACAGGTCCATTCAGTTGAATAGGACATTTGATTAGGTCTTTTGTACTACTAGAAGGGTGCAGGCAGTTGACACTTCACGGCCTTTACACCGTGGAAGGTTAGTTCTTAAGGCATCTGAAGGAGAAAAAGAACGCAGAGCATATGGGACATCTGCTTCGTCTGTCACATGCAGTGTTTTGCGGGATGTCTTGATATTTGTTTGTTCTAACTCCGGATACAGAAAACACATGCCGCTGTCACCGGAAGACGTTTACTGTTTCTACGTTTTGTAGAATATGATTACATGGATAGACAGGGCTTTAAGTACATTTTACAAGTGAGTTCCATACAAGTCAAAACATAGTTTTTGAATTACATAGTTAATTACTAATTATTACAATACTTTCAACGGTCTACTTCGCCATCACATCAACACTGAGACGAGAAGTTTGGAGAAGGAAACAAAAGTGATACTAACATGTGTAAAGGGAAATGACGATCATCTTCGACATACAATGCTGACTGGGGAAAATGAATTCAGGATAAAAGCAAGGTCATTCACACTCAAAATGTCATCTATTGATTAACTGGCGAAACATCGGCTAAAAATGAAGGCCATTTCGCCCAGTCTTCGATATATCCAGGACAAATGGTCAGAGGACGTCGTAGAACAACGAAAAATCAATCATGGTGGCATAAATGCATGCCACCTCTATCATTATGAAATTCTACACACCTCTCACCAACCTACTTCCTTCTCCTAATTCTTATTTACTTTAACTCCATACACTTCCTCCTTTTGCTCCGCTGTGAAGCGCATAACTTGAACTGATGCACTTTTGCACAGTACATCATGTCTCCTGCCTCACAAACCGTGTGTGCAACGATTGCCATCAGAACACTAAGTGTGTCAAAAGCAACAAGAGATGCCCCTTTCGAAATAATAGAACACTACTCGGGATATTCGCGCACAAATCTAGACTATTGGTCAATAAGCTATCCGGTTGTGAGTTCGATCTAGTCAATCTGAGACGTTTCTCATCAAATTTTAACCTTGATATGTACTTTAAGTCAAGCGTTTTGCTATACTTGGCATCATTTTGGAACAACCAAGTTTGCTTTACATGTGTTTCAGTTAACTTCAGTCATTGGTAATTACCAATAATATATGCAGGTATACCGCTGTCCATCCGCTAGTTATAACACATGGACGTACATTTTGAGCCAATTCCACGGTAATAAAATATACCTTTCAAATGGTTTATAAGATCATACCCTAAAATCTTAGCGGAATGAAATATACAGAGGGCGCATGCCATCGACAGATCCCTAAGGTCTTTGGACATAACATTACTCATATCGAAAGATGGAGGCGTATATATGTCAAACAGGCCCTGAATGTGTCACATGATGCCACCAGTAACTAAATTCATTCTCCCCAATACTGAAGCTACTTCACGTGATAACTAATGTAGATTATTACTTGCCAATGAATGTAAAGGGTGACATGTCAGCACAGAATGTTATGGATATATGACCCCGAGAAGGGACCTGATGCGACAGATGCAGAGGTATGTACATGCTGCAACGCACCAAAGTCTTCAGAAGTGTATCTCTTTGGATTCTGAAGCAAATGTTTTGGTATATTACTATATAAATCCTCGACGCTTCTGTGCTACGTGTTTGTGTACTACAAGTTTGATCAATGCAAACGGCCAACAGAAATATTTGCGAAGTTAACAGGATATACCCAAATTTTGTTAAGTGCGCCCGAAATTGCTTCGGGCTAAAACCAAAAGTGCCAAAGTGCGCCCAAAGTAAATGCTGGCTGGGAACTGGATAGCTATAACTATGCTAATAATTGCAGATGGTCATATGTACCCATGACTGACAGCTCGAAACTAAATTGCCAAATATGCTTAATACATTAGTTTTTTATTTAGAAATATCCCATAATTACATTCACGTGTTGAGTGTTTGTAAACTAACCAGTAAGAACCAAGTAGCACTCTATTTAACTTGCGCTTCATGCTCAATAGATTTCTATCGATACGATTCCAATATACAACGCCAATACTGCTAGCGTTGGAAACTTTCAGTTTTCGATATCTTGCATGTATTTCACGGGGCTTGGTTTTTTCTTTGGCTTTCTCATGCAGTGGGCAGTGAAATCTCCTCTGCTTTCCTGCGTTCAGGTTCGGTGAGTTTAATGTTCTAGTGGGTTGGTAAATGTAATTCGTAGATTGAGATGGTTAGGCGGCTCTGGGTTGCTAGGAATACCAGTGGTCTTTCATGATTCTTCTCTGTGTAAGTGCCTGGATAGGAATAGCAAGATAGTGGGAAAAGTTACATAGGACTTACCCGAAACGTTAAAGTACATAGTATGAGCCTAGTTACTAGAGAAGAGTTAGCAGATAGTGCAGACGAATCAGCGAGAAATTGTAAATGGTAAGCAGGAAGGAAGTAGTGATAGGCTAGATATGTCAGTAATCCCTTCGGCACGTCTGCTGTAAGCCATGCGAAATAACATAACTGTCTAACAGTCTTTTGAATGAGTCTGTTGAGGGAGCCGTGACTGCCCCCCTCTATAGGGCATTCCATGAAGCATATACTCCCAAAGAGAAAAAGCTGGATGTGAGCCTGCTGTCAGCTCTCTGATGTGATAATCTAATGTGCTTCCCTCGTGATGACCTGTGTGTTACAGGCAAGGTTATTTTGTTAGCCTGGCTTTCCTGATGGGTGATCTCGTGGGCAATAATAATGTCACCAATCTTTCTGTAACAGCCCAAAGTGAACAGATGTCGATACTTCAGTCTTTCAGCATGCACTTTTCTTCATAGTCTCAGAACTGAATTAATCGTAGATTTTCGTGTTTTATCAAGGAGATCGGAGTTTCTCTTGAGTATTGGGGATGCCTCCACTTTAAGTACTGCCAGATATGGCCGGACATAAGATTTGAAAACCGTTAGAAACAGTTCAGGGGTGATTTTCGCTCAGGCTACCACTCCTTTGTAGCTATTGCTAGTGTTCGGGGTGTCAGAGAAGTTCAGCTGGAAATCCTCAAAATGTATTGGTAGTCGGCCATCCTCGCTTCGTGGGTACTAATGTGCACTACTCTGCACTTTTCGGGGTTGGAGGCCAGAGTGTGAGTCATTGCGGGTCATTTTGGAGTGCTCTACAGTCAGCTTTTTAGTTTGCCATTATCCGAATTTCTACGCCATGAACGAAAGGGACGATGAGTGCAGATATTTTATGGGGTAGATCGTTGGCGACTACGGGGCACAGAAGTGGTCCCAGTATTGCCACTTTGAATGCCCCGAAACCAATAGTCTTCACTTTGACCATATTCTCTTTACCCTGCAAGGTGCTTTCAAGGTACGCTTTGAACCAAAAGGGTAGAGGTTTGCCGGATGACACTCTTGTGAAGCGGGATTGGGCATGGGACACTGTCAAAGTCTTCGTCTAGGTTGAGAAAAATGGCATGCGCCGGTTTTCTGTTATCCTCACCGAAGGCACTGTCGTCCCATGCGGTGAGGAAGTGGATGGTACATGGACGACCGCTACAGAGGCCATGCTGAGCATTATGAGCGGTAATTTCCTCGTTAAAGGATTTCCGGATCTCGTTGGTCATCAGGCTTCCAAACACTTTGGACAGTACATGAAGTAGGGCGATCGGTCTGAAACTGTCAGGACCCTATCTATCTTCTGCCTTGAAGGTGCGTGTGACAAAATCAAGTACCCCATTCTGTAGGGAGTCTACACGATTCTAGCGAGTGCTTGAGAGGACTGCAGACTGGTTTCCAGACTGCCTGAACACAGTCCCTTATGATTGCGTGTCTTGGGTCATCTCGGCCGGGATACCTTTCCGATACTGTTTTCTGCGTGATGACAGATGTTGCAGGGGCATTCATCACTCATGATCTCATCACTGTCCAATCATACAGCTGCAGATTCGGTGTCAGAAGTACCAAGTGGCACTTCGAAGCGTGAACCCATGGGCCCAACTATCTCTAGGCTGCCTAGTACATCTTGACTGAGACCTGCTGTAACATCGACACCCTCACTAATACAGCACCTCGTCAACATGGAACGGCACGGGTTTCTAGGGCTACTTCATAACCACTTCGTCAGGTTTTTTCGGTGGCTAAATTTGTCACTGTGGTATCTTATGATGCAGTGGCTGCGAATTCCTCTGTAGTTGAAGAGGTTAGAGGCCCTAAATAATGAAGGCCGCTTAAACTGAGTCTGCCCGTTGGTTTCAAGTAGCCTCTCTGTACATGATGAATTCACGAGGCAACCTCTCACGATTTCGAGGACAGACTTGCCCTGGCAAGGCAAGTAGATGGGCATCTTTGCCTTCAGAGCCTCTTTAGTAATCGTGGAGGAAGTTGTTGGTGCATGATTACTGTGACCAATAGACCGTTTGATGCATATATTCTCAGTGAGATCACCGTTCACCAGAAAGTTGTCCATGAGTGATGCATTCCCCTTGAACCCTCACCTCGTGGCACTGCCCACTTTCCCTGAGGGACCAGCAGTCCCAGCCATACCCCCAAGCTTCCAACTGGAGGATCCCGTGTGTCGCTCTTCCGTCTAGAAGAGGGTGGACTAGGTGCTGAGGTCACCCCGTATGATTATAGGTTCGTGATCTGCGGAGAAAGTTGCTGGGTTTATTTTGACGGCCATTTTTCCACGGGGGTAGCCAGTGAGGGAAGGATAAATGGCCCCGAGAAGGTATTTGATACGACAAATGGGGGGTAGGGCCATAAAGATTCCCGGCACTGAATGGTAACCATGTTTCCGGCTACTCTTGCCTTTACGCTGAGGCCTGCGCAGAGAGCCACTTTACCTCCGGCTTTGAGCCCCCTGTTTTTGAGGAAGAGTCCCACGCCGATGACATGTATCTCTGTCACAGATGTCGCGCAGGAGCATGGATACTGCTTCACATATGATGTCATGGTAGGTGCCCGCGGAGCGTTCTCACCTCCGCTACTTTCCACCTTAGTTATACAACTTTCATGCAAATGCTTGTAGGGATGTGCCCGATGGGAGGAAAGGACTGGTTGCAAAGTTTTGTGGGGGGAGTATTTACTTGGTTGGGTGTAGAACTGTCAGTCCCCTTGGGACTGGCAGCGCTCCATTTTCCGGAGCTTCAATTTCAGCCTGGGTGGGGTTTGTAGTGGAAGGAGCTTCAGTACCCGAAGTATTTGACCGACTAACTTGTGACTGCGTGACAACCGCTAACCCCATAGGTCTTAACGGTCGACGTCTTCCTTTGTGTCAGTACGTGAGTCAGGCGGGATGGCAGGCAACCTAGGAATGAGGACGATTTTCTAGTGTTGGTCCCTGTTGCCTGCTGACAATGCTGGCCAGGGGATTGCATCGGCCGACTTCATTTGAAAGCAATTGCCGTTGTTGAATGCAGTGGAGGTACCAATTAAATAAATAAATAAATGTTTTATTCTCACGTTAAAAAGTTTAACATGAGAGAAGCCAGTTTACAGGCTTCATCATGTTGATACATCTCAAAATATCTACAAGACTTAAGCCCTGGGTGGTACTGAAGGAACGTCATTAAACTCAATCAAAAACTGCAGAAGGTCCTGCTAATTATGAAACGAACAAGGAAATATTACTTTACAGCGTACATAGAGTGTTAAAGTTCAGATATTAATAAATATTGTCTTCATTTAACGGGTTTAACATGGGGGATACCAGTTTACAAGCGCCGTCAAATTCATAATTTTTGGAAGCTTACGAACTGGTATCTAGTATTAAATAATTTACATATCAAGTCATTAGTGTGCATAATCTTATTAAAATTTTCTGGAATTCATGAGACAGATATGGATTTTCATCTCCCATCTCACAGACAGGTTCCACTGTCAGCACCAAAAGCGCGCAACGTTCGAAGTTTGCGTTATAACCGACCGGGGCGTTACTTAAAGCTATCCCCTGACTTGTTATGGGTTATCACGCGGGTTTAGGAAAATGCTTGTTTTCTGTTTTCTGTTGGTATTTATTACCTTTTTCTAAACTATGAAACGCAGCTAATCATTTCGTCCTCCTTCTTACGGTGTATTTGCTGGACAACAGCTTGCTGTGCTACACGTCTTTATTTCAGAAATTGGAACTGACGTCTTATTTTATTTGTGAAGGAAGGCGGTCAAAAATGAAAGGATGGTAATTAGGCCTTTAAATTATTATGACGAGGAATTAAGATCGTAATGTTGACCTGAAGTCAACCCGCTTATCACGGTAAACGAAGTCCAGAAGGAAATCAAAGAGCAGCTGTTCTTTCGGCTAAATAGGTAGAATGAATGAGAAAAATTGGCAAATGAATGGAAAATTTCGGCTAGAATGGGGATATTGTTTCTGGAGGGCGTTAAAAGAGGAGCGGAGGGTAAAGGTATATTTTCAGGCCACAATGAGGAATTAAAGCTGACACTTAAGGGGAAATGATGCGGAGATCAGGTGTAGAATCCGGAAAGTAAATATATATATGTTCTCTTCTTCTGCTTTTCACCCCTTGAATGCATTAAAGTTTAAGTTGAAAGCCACTTAAGGTGGGAAAAGCAGACAAAAAAAGGGAAAGAATGTGATAGGGGAAAATCGGTTTCTTCTTCCCACGTATGTCGCTTTATTTTACCACTGAGCTTCCCCCTGTTATCTGTTTATTTCTCCCTTTTTCGTCTGTATGATAGTGGATATTTTTCTGTTTTAAAGCAGGTTGGCTCGTGCAAGACAGATGAAAACTGCTTTGCCAGGTGATTAGGCAGGCGCACTACATTGAAGATCTGGGAGCATCCCGCAAGACGTAGAAGCTGGCACAAGAAACTCTGTTGGCTTCACAAGCTTGAAAAGAGGTTGGGTGTTGTAAAGTGAACGTGAAGTACGCTTCCTTTTATTCTCCAGATTAATACATTAAGTTATACTTAGCAGTAGACGGTTCGTTGCTGGTGTATGTCTGGTTAATAGAGGCAGGTGGATGCAGTCAATGAACCTCTGCTTTTGAAACTCCGTTCAGAAGAAAGTTATGCTGAAACTGTAT